AACTAAGGAGAGAAGCAGAGGTGAGAAAACCTCAGAGTCTGCAACCTCCCCTCAACCTCTCCCATATGCAAGCTGAGAACCATCTGGGTCCCACCCACCCCATCACCTTAAGGAGCATGTGGTATTTATGAGAAGAGGTAGGACCCCATCTCCTGGTCCCCACCCCTATCTCTCTAACAGGGAACAGTCATGTCCATCCTGTCACTCTGCCTCCAAGGGCCACCATGAGATACTGGGACAAGAAGGGGCTTTGATATAGGATTTCTGGCAGCAGCTATGGGAAGAGCCACCCCATGAGCATCATCCCCTTGGCTTCCTGAAAACTCACTCGCTCTGGGGAGGAAGGTGACTGTGGTTTCTGCTGCCCCCGCTTCCTACAGCATGGACCCCGCTTCACCCCAAGTGTGAAACCCATCACAGGTCACAGTGTTACCTGCACACTCATTAATTCCGCCAGGAAAGCTCATGCACCCTGGCAGAGAACACTCAACCTCAGGGGAAGGGGTGAGATTCCAGGCTCACACGGAGGGCTCAGTCCCCGCCCTGCCATTGCGCTAGCAGCGGCCTGACGACTTGCTAGGCCTCTGTGAGGAGCAGGCAGGAACCCAGGAAGTGCAGCACTGTGATGAACAGGGCAAGTAGCTGGCAGGAAAGCTCTGCCTGGGAGGGGCTATGCCATGAGGACCGCTCCTGACTGCCCAAGGTGGCCATGCAGCCCCAACCGATCTGCCCTGCTGCCTTCCAGCCTGGGCCCCGGCCTCATCCTGTCTAACCAGATGCCACACACTCTCAACCACAAGCTGAGCCTCCCACTCCCACAGCTTGCTCTTGCCATACCTGTGTGCCCTCCCCACATCTGGGTCTGGCCACCTTCTCATTAAGAAGAGTGGACAGAGTCAGCATACTGGCACACATCTGTATTCCCAGCACCTGGGAGGCTGAGGCAGGAGGCTCACCATGAGTTTGAGGAGAGTCTGGGATACGCAGTGAGTTCAGGGATATATACTTGAGAGCCTGTATCAAAAGACAAACCAAAACACAGACTGGACTGAGCACAGACTGAATCCAGGATTCAAGGCCCAGTGGGCTTGGGACTGCGGCAGGGCCGACAGCCAGCAGGAATGCAGACTCAGGGTTCCCAGGGGCCAGGTTGGGCCGAAGGCCACAACCAGTGGGTCGGTGGTCAGGCTGACTGCGCAGTCTGGATGGTGGAGGCGCTGTGGGCACAGGGCCCGGCTTGGCGCGGGTGGCTGTGGGGGTGGTTGGAGCTGCGGACTATTTTTAGGCTCCTGTTCGATTTGAGAGACAAGGATGCTCGGGGCTACAAGCCTTGTGCACCAGGAAAAGACTAAGGTGGCCTGATCCCCCTCCCCATACTCCACACCAGTTCAGGGGCTCCAGAGCCTCCTCTTTCTGTCCCCAGGTACCAGCAGCAGTGCCAGGAAGTGGACTGGAAGCACCCTCAACACCCAATATGCAAACACCCTGGAGAGCTGATTTCCATGTCATTTGTGCACTTCCCTGCTTCCTCATCGGAGGGAACCGAAAGTCCCCTTTGAGAGTCCCCCAGGCACAAAGGGCATCTGCAGAGTGCCTGTTGAGCTGCTTTCCTGGGTACCATGACAGGAAGACACCAGCTCAAAAATGGGGTGGTTAGCACAGCAGTGGAGCCATCCGATATAGGCTCAGGGCAGCAAATGTTTCTCCTTAGCCACCAGGCTATGGGTTCACCTATCCCATCCATGGCGGATTGAGCCTCCTGCTACGTCCCATGAAATTTTCTAGATGCTAAAGATGTGAACCTATGAGAGAAAATTTTCTACCCTCCCAGAGCATATATTCTACAGCAGTGCTATCCAGTAGAAATCTGAGCCAGACTCATAACTGTCAATTTCCGAGGAAGCGATGTGATATAAAAGTTAAAGCAATAGATGAAATTGATTTTCATACTTTATTTAGCATAATACATCCAAACTATGAGCATTACAATATGTCATTCATATAAATGTTTGAAATATATCTTTTTTGGTTCATGTGAGGGTATCTGTTTGCTTTAGTTTTTTGAGACAGGGTCTCACTATGTAGTTCAGACTGGCCTCAGATTCGCAATCCCCAAATGCTGGGATTAACAGGCATGCAATGCCACACCCATCCAAGGGTTTTGAAATCTGATGGATCACTTATCCTTGAAGCATGTCTTGGTTCAGATGAGTCACGTCTCAAGGACTCCATAACCCTCAGAGAATGCTATACTAGAAAAAAAATCACCTATCTGGAGTCAGGAGAAAGGAATGTTGCCATTGATTAGTGATGTCTGCACAGGCAGGGTGAGCAGGATCAAGTTGCAGGCACTGTGTTTGCCCACAATGGTGTGTCGTCTCTCTCTATGCCCTTCTGCATTCATTAATTCTTCCCAGGCTGGAGCAATTACTGATCTAAACACTGGGCCCTTGGCTGGATCCAGGCTGGCAGCATCTCCCTCCAGGGTGTGGTTTTGGGCTCCTTCCCCTGGTGAGACTGGATCCTGGCCATGGTGACCCTGAACATGTGGCTTTTGTTTTTGTTTTTTCCCAAGGTCTCTTCCTCTCAGAGCTAACCAATACTAACATGAAAGTATTTCCTGAGCTTGATTTAGCCATTTCAGTTCCACTCTGAACGAAGCCCACGCCTACAGACCTCCTGTCTGGCACCCTCACTGGGATCACCCACCCTAGCTGGGATTGCTCTGTGTTCTTTTCCAGATAAGAAGACTAAAATTAGGCTGTGGAAGGAACTAGAAATGCCCCAGGATGGGGAGGGGGGTTTGCTGAGGTTGAGACAGGCAAAGATGGGTATGAAAACAACCAGATATCAAGCCCCAGTCATCCACACCTCCAGTATTATTACCATCTCCCTCAGCCCTGCTCAAAATTAGAAAATTCTTTTTTTTTTTTTCCCAGTACCAGGAATCGAATGCAGGACCTTACGCTTGCCAGGCAGGCACTTATGCCAATGAGCTATCTCCCCAACAAAGTTAGAAACTCTCCCTTCTTATTCATCCATTCAGCAGAATCTATATACCAAGCAATGGTCTAGGCAATGGGAATATAGCCCTGAACAAAATGGCCAGGTTCCTGCCTTCATGTAGCTCACTGCACTCCAGCCAGTCCATGACACCCCGGGACATCACACTCCCGTATCTTTGCAAATGCTCTTCCATTTTCTGTGGTCACCTTGCTCCCAGGGCACTTCTACACAAACCCCACTCAAGCCTCTGAACACCCTTAGGTGGGCTCGGTGCCCCGTGAGCTCCCACGTCCTCCAGCCTAGGATGGTCACATGTGGGCCATGCCTCCCTTCCCAACCAGGCTTCAAAGACGTCAAGGGTATGGCTGTCCTTCTGTGAGTCCTCTGGGCCACCTTCCAGGCATAGACTCCCCCAGCTCTGAAGTGAGCAGGCTGAAAACTCAGGGGTAGGGGCTCAGGCACCCCCTGTAGACTTTCAGGTCATTCAGAAGGCTCTATCTGGAGCACCCCAAGGGAGGGACCCAGGAATGCAGAAGAGGTGGGAACTGCAGAAGGAGGGAGCTGTGAAAGGGTTTTGAGCAATAGAGCAGTGTGGGCAATGCTAGACCAGAGGGGTCTTTCAGTCACAGAGGTGTGGGAGCAGACACGGAGGTGTCTCCACACCCCTGCAGGGTGGAGCTTCAGTCTCTCCCAGACTTGCCCTTCTCAGCTTCCCAGAAAGGATGCACAGGACGGAGGACAGGATAGGCCTGCACCTGTCCTCAGCCAACACTGGCTCTGTGACATCCTGTGGACACCTCTATAGTAGATCCTAACGGTCTTACCTCCGTCAAACACACACCAGCCAGAGGCCCCAGTGCCTCTCACGCATGCATTAGGGCAAACAGACAGAAGCCGTGCCCAGCGGCCCCACCCCAGTGGCTCATTTACATGGGATTTACACGGGCTCATTTCATGCCTCGATGCACACGGCTTCCTGCCCTGCCAGCCTCTCCTAGTGTCCTGGAGAGACAAAGGAGTGTGTACCATCATTCAAGTCCTCTCCACGGGTCCAGTGGGACACCAAGAGCCTCCCTGAAGGAAAAAGGGGTCTGGCACCATCCAGAGAAGGCAGAGAGCACCTTACAGGTCACCCAGCAATCTGGGAAGGGCCCAGGCTTGGCCCATAATTTTTCTGCCTGCTGTGCTCACCAGAGGCTGGAACCCAGCCTCTGACCTCTGCTGTGCCACCAGCTGGGGCTCACTAAGGGGGTGTGAAGCTGCTGCTGTTGGCTTCAAGCTAGAAAACAGACAGGGTCCAAGACACATGAGGGGAAGAGTGTACAACCAGGCCCAGTCCCCGTGGTTCCTTCCAACTCCTAGAGGCCCCTGTCCTACACCTGCTACACTGGAGTCACCCTGAATGATGGATGGGAGAGGTGAAAACCAGGAGAATCATGATCCAGGATCTGCCCAAAAAGACCCACAGCAGCTAGGACTAGGGAGGGAAGGCTGAAGGTGAGGGCTTTTCCAGTCCCCTGGGATTGGCTAGAGACCACCACCCACCAGGCTGACTCAGGGAGGGGAACCGCTGGAGTCTGCAACACATTCCCTCTAGCACTTGTCATCAGGCCTGGGTTCCTGCCACCAGGGCCAAGGGACAAAAAGGAACAAAGACAGGCAGAGAAGATGAGGGAAGTCTCAGGGAGACATCTGATATTTCCCTCTGCACCTCCCCCATGTGCCACTCCCCTCACTCCTATCCATCCCAGAGTGAATTCCTTGTCCTGTCCTCCATCCACTAAGCAGGCACCCCCCCCCTTCCACCTGCCCTCCAGGATTGGGCAGGTAATACCGCTCAGGGTTGTGGGTTCCAATTCCCATCCTGCCTATCATTAGTTGGGATACTCAGAGCCATCCTGAGATGTACCAAGGACAAGGAGAAGGTGTGATGGGTGATAAATATGACCCTCTCATCCCTGCAACGAGTGTTGCAGGCAAGAAAGAGGCACAGATAAATAAATAGCTTGTTTATTAGTAGTATGTTACATTATTAAAGTGCATTGAGTAGAGAAGCAGGGGCGGAAGCTGGAAGGCCACCGGCCCCAGGCCCTGCCCCAGACGTGCTGGAGGAGGGCCCAGCTCTTTGCTGAAATCCATGGACTGGGGGTGGGACCCCCACTGGAAGTTTCACAGTTTAGCCTAAGTTAGGACTTGTCCTGAGCTGAAGGTAGGAGGCTAGGAGCATGGAAGCACAGCCCCTGGGGAAGGGGGCTGAGGGGAAGGGAGCAGACTCCCTGCCCCCCAACCCCCAACGCCAAGGGCAGAGTCCTAGAATCTCCCCCTAAGGACCCGGCTCCTCCCTCTGAATGGACTTGGTGAACCTAGGGCTGTTTTTCCTTCATTCCCCCATTTTCCTCACCCACCCCCTCCCATCAGCACCCCCACCCTGGGGGCTCATGCCCCCAGACTGGGCTCCCTGGGCAGAGCCAGCTCATGCCACTGTCTGCAAACCCATGCCTGTCCTTCCCTGGCCTCTCATCCCACCCCAGGGAGCCGTAGATGGGGATCAGCCCCACCCGCACCCTTCCCAGCCCCTCCCTCTCCCCCCCAGCATGTAGTTTTGGTATTTTCATACAGATGCAGTCGGAAGTAGCTATACATGAAATAAGCCTAACATAAATATAGAGCTTTTCCCGTCCTCCCGTCCGGAAAGCAAACATCCTTCGATAAACATGCAAGGCGGCTGTCCGGGGAACCCCCGGCAGAGGCAAGGGAGCTGCAGGGCAGGGCCAGCCAGCGCACCAATGGCCCTGACTGTGGGGAGGGCAAGTGGGAAGGAGACAGTGGGTACAGAATCCAGGAGGACCCAGTCTTAGCCTCGAGGTCCAGAGACAGGGCCTTAGCTCCCTTTCCAGGACCCATAGGGTCTGGGGCTGGGAACATCACTACATTGAGTCCAGCATGAGGAGTTTTTGGAAAATATTCTCCGGAAGACGGAGTCTTGGTCACGGATGCCCCAGCTTCACAGTGAGCACCTCCCACCCACCTGGGGTCTAGCAGCCGCCTGCGGCTGGACATCTCCGGGCCTTTTGTTCCCCATTAGGTTATTAGGTCCCTTTGGAAGGTATAACGGCACGGAGCTCCGGGGGCCAGGTGGCTCTGCGTTTGTGGCTTCTCCAGTGCCCCTAGTGGACCAGCAGGCCCAATGTGAGTGTGGGCAGGACTCTCAGCCAGAAGGAGATGTCTAGGACACTAGCGCCACCCAACAGGTGCTCAGCCAGCGCACGGTCCTCAGGTAGCAGCTCCCAGTGCTGGGCTTCGCGGAGGTAGGAGCCCTCTCGGGCCTCACAGCGGTAGTGGCCATACTGGCGGGCCGTAAGGTTCTCAATGAACAGGATGCAGTTGGGGCTCTGGTGCCCAGGCTCACAGCTCTGCTCCACGTTTTGCTCATGGCGCCAAGAGTAGGTAGCATGACGGGACTCCATAGGGCAGCTCAGGTAGTAGCGAGAATTCCGGGCCAGGGAAACCTTCTGCAGAGGAGCCTCATCTGGGAGGGTATGGAAAAGCAGCCATAAGGAGGGACCAGGGCTCCCCCAAGACTGAGTTCCCAAGTTCCCTGAAAACAGGGACCCTCATCCCACCACACCATAGGGCTCCCTGGGCAGAACACAGTCCCGCCCCATGCGCCTATGGCCCAAGGTGAGGCCAAGGCCTCCTAGAGGTGGAGTGCACATGGTGTGGCTTTACCCACCCACATCAGACTGTGGCCTGCAGGCAGGGCTGGATCAGGTACCTGGTTTGGGGTTGGGACACTCTTTATGTGGCTCAGCTGGATTAATGGATTGCAGCACTTGCCTGGGGTGGGAAGGAGGAGAGAGGCTCAGGCTACAGCCTAACCCTTACCCCTTTTCACCATGCCCCAGTATCAGCAAAGAAGAGGGTCTGGCTAGAACAAGACACCTCCTGCAGCTCTCCAACAACCTCCCCACTCCTATGTCCACCCACCCTCCCCCAGAGACAGGGATCACGGCCAAGGTACCATGGGCGGCTGTAGATGGACACACAGTGGTCCTGGTCCCAGCCGCAGTAGGGGTCTCGGGACATGAGACAGCCATGGCAGCCCCCACCATACACGTCACACAGGTCCAGAGGCACCTGGCTCACTTCCCACTGTGAAGTCACATACAGCTTCCGCTGGAAAGAGAGCAAAACTCAGGTCAGACTCGGACTTGTACACTGGCTTCTCAGTGCCTAGCCATGGCATCCCATACCCTCGCAGGCCCCAGTACCCAGAGAGGATATGCAAGTTGCATGCAAAGCAGCCCTGCCCTCAGTGGGTTGCTTGGAAGTCCTGTGGGTCCTATGGCGGGGGGGACTCACCCGTTCAGCATCCAGCGAGATGCCCTGGATGGCAGCTGCACGATGAAAGGGCTGGATCTCCATGATGTTGAAGGCAAGGCCGTGTTCTTGTTCTCCTGACTCCACCACCTTGTGGATGGTGCCCCTGTCTGTGGGCAGTGGGCAGAGGGTCAGTGGGCCAGTGGGCAGAGGGTCAGTGGGCAGCAGCTTCTCTCCCGGTAGGGCTGTCCGGGAAAGATGCAAGCTGGGGAGGGGTAGGAAGTCATGATTCAGGCCAGGGTCACAAAACTGCACCAGGTGGGGTAAGGGCAGTGTGCCTGGGGAGGACTGGAGCCTGAGGGTAGCTCAGAAGTTTCCAAGGAATGTCCAGAGAGGCCCCACAGCTCCCCAGACAGGGCCCCTGTGTGCCTAAGGCTGCACGCGCAGCCTCAGGCACTATCTTTCCTGCTTTGCAGATAAGGCTCAGCAAAGCCAGGCAGCTGCTCAAGGTCACATAGCTAGAGACCAAGATGGAGCCAGGCCCTGTTAGAATCCCTCAGCCTCTTCCACAACGCCCCTGCCTCCTGGTCTCTTACAGGATACATTTTCTTTAAATACATTTTTTATTTTAGAATAATTTTAGATGTCTGAAAAGTTGCAAAGATAGTACAAAGAGTTCCTGTCTTGCTTTCCCTAATGTGACCGCCTTACATAACCACGGTACATTTGTCACAACTGAGCAATTGACATTGGTGTCTTACTATTCGCTAAGCTACATACTTCATTGAGATTTCACGGGTTTTTCCACTCAAGTCCTTCTTTTGTTCCAGGATCCAATCCAGGACTTCACGTTCCACTTAAGTCTTCGGGGATATTTTAATTTTTATAAAATCTTAGATCTGAAAAGAATCTTAGATTCCACAGAAGAGCTCCCAAGGTCACATAAGCAGGCTGCCTGCTAGGCCAAAGCTCTCTTGTCAGCCCCTGCTGGGGACAAGTGGGCATCCTGACCCTTGGTCCTCTTAATCCCACCTCACCTGCTGTCCCAGTTTTGAGAATGCCTCTTTCCTTCTTTCCCTCCCTCCCCATTTCCCAGGGCATCGCCTGCCCCAAAAAAGCAGTCAGATGATTGCCTGCCTGGGATGGTTCCTCTACGGGTCTGTGATTCCCACCTGCAGACCTAGAGATGTGGCCCGAGGCTCCCCGGACTTTCCAAGCCCCAGCCCGGCTGCCCGCATGCACACCCGCCACATTCACATGCGCACACACAAATGCATGCCCTGCACCTCCTTCCAAATAGTCCCTAGAAACCTCTCAGGAACAGAGCCATTAACTTCTGCCAGTTATAAGAGCCACTGTCTTATCCTCAACCCTATGACCTCTCCTTCTCTGCTCTCCTGCCAGCCACCATGGCTAAGCTAGCCACTGCTGGGACAAAGCAAGGATAGGGCCCTGATGGTGCAGCTGGGGCAGGTGGAGGGTAAAGAGGTGCAATCTCAGGACCCAGAGCTTAGGCACTGCCCTGTGGGAAATTCTCCCAGAAGCTTCCAGGAGCCCAATAATGGCACTGGGGTCCCAGCTTCCAATCCAGCCACCAAGGCAGAGTAGCCCCAAGCTGAAGCAGTGGTAGGAAGTGAAACAGGGGAGTATTAACAATGGCCCTTTCCAGTTCCAAACCCACAGTGACATCCAAGTTCACTCCCAGAATGCCCTTGGCCACAGCCTGAATCTGGATGCTGCCATAAACCCAGCTCAGGCAGCTCGTCCATGCCATGGGCTTTCTAGAATGCCAGGCATCTCCTGAGCACTGCAAAGGCAACCCTGAACTTCTGGGAATGTGGCTGAGGCTCTACCATCTAGAATCTCTTCTTCTAGTTGCAATGAATTGTCAGTGTCCTGCCAACTTCTCAAATGTCTCCTCTCACCTGCATCATCCCAAAGTTAGGCAGAGGGTGTGTGGGTCTACAGCTGCCTGGCAGCGGTTCCGGGAGGCCCACGGCCCAGCCCCTCCTCCTGACTTTCCATCTCCCTTCCCACCCCTTCTCCCTGAGTCAGTCAAAGCTGCCTCTGGCTTTGCTCCACTCCACACATTTCCGCCTCCAGTTCCTGTGTATGTTCTCCCCTCCTTGGCTACTCTTCCTCTCTTCTCTCTGCCCCTACCACCTCTGGGAAGCCCTCCCTACCTGCCTGAACTTCCACAGCCACACACTAACCCCTAATGGTTCTAGCCACTCAATTCTTTCTCCATATAAAGATCCAGGCAAATGTTACCTGTGTTACTCTTTACACCTCATGTATCTGTTTTACAGAGCAAGGTGTTGGGGGGGAGGGGTCTCTGGCTGGTTCCTCACCTGTGGTTAGGTAGAGCACATGGAAGGTTTCCTCGTGTCTGGTTTGCATGCGGTGGACGACTACTTTCTGGTAGTGGTACTTAGAGTGGAACAATGGTGTCTTCAGTGGTCCCATGGGCTCTACCCTCTGGGCCACCTCAGGGTGACTGTCAGCCACCTGGAAGGTCTCCGTGGGTATGGGCTTCTGGTTTGGGAGGCACTGGTGAGGAGAGCAGGCCTGATCAGTGGGCAGCTGGGGATGCAGGTGGAGAAGGCTAGGGTCTGGGCACTGCAGTGTCACCACTCACCTTGCCAGGCCGAGGGTTGGGAAGGCCTACGTGGTAGCCCTTAAGGGAGGAGGTACGAAAGACCCTGTCAATGTCGCCAAGGGAATACACGCAGACAGCAGAGTAGTTCCTGTGAGGACAGAGACCACCTCCTAACTTGAGGGCTCACTTTCTCAGGTCAGGCCCATATCAGACAGGGCACCACCACCATCCCTGTCCCATGAGCTCAGTGAGCCAGGACTATCCTTGGAACCAAGCCCAGGGCCTGGCATGGCATTACTAAACACCACTGAGGAAGGGAGGAATGGAAGGAAGGAGAGAAGGGGGGAAGGAAGTTCAACCTTGTTGCTCTCCGCTACAGTCTAAAACCATAGCTTGTATTGTATCAGAGCACCACAGAGTTAAGAGGTGTGTCCCAACATGGGCTGGGTAGTTCTCCTGTCCCTCTGGGCACAGGCTGTGGGGTGCTGGGGCCCCAAGAGGCCAGATCCTTTTCCCTTTCCCACATAGGAGCCACAGTGCAAGGTTATTGCTTTTCCATCTCGCCCCCCCTACCCTAACTGCGCCACTGCCTTGAGTACTTTTGCCTGCCTTGTTTTCAATCAATGAGAATGATTAAGAAGTGCAAATTACCAGGCGCAGGCAGTGCTGAGCAGGTGTGATGGCACCCCGCCCCCAGCACCCCAGGAGAGGCCCCAACAGCCCTTCCTAGGGTCCACATCAGCTCCAAGCACACACATGGTGGGACACACAGGTGAGTGTGCACACAGCATGTGCCCATATAACCACATGTGCAGACTCAGGAGTGCAGCAGAACACACATCACGTGAACTGCCCCCACCCTGCATCCTGCAATAGCCCTGTACTGAGCCTGCCGTCTCTGGCCAGGCCACACCAATACTGCATTCAGCAGAGACCAGGTCCAATGCCAGTGCCAGCCCCAGGATGAGGGTCACTCACCATGGGTTGGAGAAAACGCCATAGACCCTGGTGTCCTTCCAGTTGCCACTGGGGTGAGGGAGCAGGAAGACATCCTGTAGCCGGTTGAAGTTCTTGTTGGTGGTGGCATCGCTGCACACCAGCATGGCTTTCAGGAAGGTGTTCCACTTGGAGACCGACAGGGAGCTCTCACCACCCTGGTCCCCCTAGAAGGGAGACATAGAGGAGGCCACTCAGTACCTGCCCGGGCCACCCCAAGTCTGAGGCCGCCCCCAGGAACACTGTCTCCAGGCTGCTGAGAGGATGCCAGGAACCACCTCCGGGGGACGAGGGCACTGAGCCGGACTCAAGCTGGTTTCCAGGTCAGACTGCCCGGCAGCCCTGGGGGCACAGGACCCACAGTGAGTGCTACAGCTTTGGTGCTGACACTGACACACACCTTTCACACACACATATACACATTCACACACAGCACAACATACTCATATAAACAGAACACGCCTGCATAAATGCACTGATACACACTGGTCTGCTCACGTAGCACAGCATAGTCATACAAGCAAAACACCTATGTAAACACACAGGAGCACACTCACATGGTACAGTATGTACACATAAACCACCCCCACATAAACAGGTGTTATGCACTTGCACACTCACACATGGCACAGTAGCCACACAAATGAACATAAGTAAACATATCTACACATTCACATAGCATACAGCATACCCATAAAGTGGAACACACTCACTTAAACATGCTTTTATACACTCACATCCACAGCAAGCATGTGCATACATGCAAAACACCTGTGTAAACCATGCTGTTACACACCTACACACACACACAGCAGTGTATTCATATAAGCAGAACAGACTTATGTAAACACATGATTACATACTTGTACACAGAGCTGACACAAGAAAGACACAAATGTGTAAACACTTATCCACATGGCACAGCATATTCATACAAGTGTAACATGTTGCACACCTGCACACCCACACACAGCATATTCATTCAAGTGGAACATATATGCATAAATGTGGTAATGCACACATGCACTTACATACACATACAATCTCAGTATCTTTACCCATGCACACACACAAGAATGCTGTGCACACACATCCATTCCAGTGGTCCTATACATAGACTCCCTCACACTTATACACACACTCACTCATCCTCACACTCAGCTATGTGTGCAAAGACACACACCCACATAGCCACTCACCCTGCACAGCTGGGCAACACGGGACACATTGAGAGGAGACTCAGGATTCTTGTCAGGATTATCCTCCCGAAAGAAGTAATAGATCTTGTCATCATAGGCCTGGTCTTGGTGCACGATGGTGGCCTTGATGAACTGCGGGTCTGTGGGAACACAGGAGTGTGAGGCTGGGGAGTCTGCATGCAGCAACCCTCTAGCCCTGGGCAAAGCAGACCTGGCATAAACTCAGAATTGAGGCCCTGCACCCCAAGGGGCCATGGGCTCAGCAATCACACCCGAAACACCTGTTTACCCTCCTCCTACAAAGATGTCATGGGCCCAAGAGCAATGACTTCATGCCTGGAGACAGGGGGAGGATCCCTGAAGGCTCCTATGTCACCTCTGCCTAATTGGCAGAGCCTTAATGAGGAGAGGGGTGGGATCCCTGCAGGAGCCCAGCAGAGGGATTCAGCAGTGGTTCTAGCCTCTGCCCTGTCTGGGGCTCTTCTGCATCTGTCCCCAGCATGTGGTAGGCCTACCCGCCTCTGCACCTCTGTATCCAGGGTCCTCTGTTCTCACAAATGAAGTCCGCATGCTGGCTTCTCTGACCTGCTAGGAGCTTCCACTTTTCTGGGTAGTCACAGGGAGACTTCCCAAGGAACATCAGGACCCTACCTCACATCACCCTGGGTGTCCACACCCCAATCCACCCACAGCCTGGAAAGAGCCAACTCACTCTGCATAACGGTATCACTAGTGTATAGCTCACTCTCGCCCCGGATGCGGCGGAATCGGGGAATCTTCCCATTGTATTCTTGCTTCCGGATGGTAGAGTATACCTCATCCCCTGAGGACACAGGAGCAGGGGGAGGTGTGTGAGGGCAGGCATGCCCTGGGTGTTCCTCTGCAAGAGCCCACCAGCCCTCTCAGCCCACAGCAGCATCCCTGGGGTCCCTGCTGCAGAGCTCTCCTACCTTCAAACAGAACCAGGGAGTTCTCATCTGGGCTGAAGGGGGCATAGCCTCTCATCTCACCAAGTGGCACCACAGTGTCATTCACCTGTGGGAGCCCAAGAGGGTCAGATAGGCACACAATTTCATAGTCACTGTCCCCAGGGGTGTTGGCCTCCTTCTAGGTCCCCTGTACCACAAGGGATCCTGCCAAAGGGAGACCAGCCTCAGAGTCCCCACCCAGGAGAGGTGAGCTGACCAGGCACATGGGCAAGGCCCTTCTCACCAGGTTCCAGCAGCTGGGCCGCCGGGCGTTGGTGCCACATGCCAGGAGCCCCTCACTCCGCCTCTCCAGGAGCGTGATGTAGTTCTCACAGTCCTTCTAGAGTAGGAAGAAGGGAAGGAGACAGGACAGGCTGGGACCCTCAGTCTGGAGGAAGGGTTGGGTGTGGGTGGTGGCCTCCCAGGAGAGCCCAGAGGGGTACAGCTGACTGCATTCCCTCAGTACAGAGACTACCAAAGTTGTGTGGAGACTTGTAATCCCAGCATCTAGAAAGCTGAGGCAGGAGGATCACTGTGAGTTCAAGGCCAGTATGGGCTACAAAGTGAGACCCCGTCTCTGAAAACCAAACAACAGAGGCCACCAAGGAAGGACCATAGGTCCCCCTCAGACTGGGGTTCCGAAGGCAGCCAAACTTCTACCCAAGATTCTCAGGGTCACCTCCTGCTCCCCAGGATTCCCATCCCTCCTGCACTTCCTCCCCAAACTCACCTGCTTATCCTCGCAAGACCCCTTCGTGGAGCTGATGTTCACCTGAGGGAGGGGAGAAGTGTCAGCCCACTCTGTATGGGCAAGGTGCCCCGCCATGCTGTCCATGCAGCCTCAGGACAAGCCCTGCATGCAGCAACCTTATTCTCATCCTCCAGAAGAGCAATAGGGCACAGAGAGGGCAAACAGATTTCCTGAGATCACATAGGCTACCCAGTCTGGTTCTGGGAGCCAGAGCCCTGCACTCTCAGAAGACAGCCACAGGTCCAAGTGCCCCGCTTCCTTCCCAGCTTCCCCTGTCCAAACTTCCCGCCCATCCAAGTGGGTGAGTTCCCAGTTTTTCTCCACATTTGACTCCCATTCCAGTTCCTTTAAGAAGCCTCCCCCAGGAGCCACTGATGAGGATATGGAGGCTTTGGGAAGATACTGATCCCTTTCTATTCTCTGCAGCAGCTCACCAGGGCCAGAGTGGGGAGAGAAAAGAGGTGGGAAGGGAGAGGCTTAGGGCCCAGGCTCACCGTGTGCACAGATGCGTTCTTGCCCTCGGGGAAGTCGAATCGGTAGACCTTGCCTCGTCCACCCACCCAGACGGAGGGGCTCCCAGGCTCATGGAAAAGCACTGTGTGTGGCTCGGCCTGGCCAAAGTCCAGCCGGTCCTGCCCTGTGCGGCCTGAGGGGGAGGTAATGGGTGGAACATTGAGGCTGGGGCACATCAGCATCTGCTAATTAGTGTCCGGAGCTCAGGGCACTAGGAGGCCTCAGAGATGAGGTAGGGGGGACTCAGAGCCAGCAAGTCCCAGGGGGAGATCAGCAATCAGCTATCCTCACCCAGAGCTATGGTCCATCCCCGAGGAGGTCAGCCTCTCCCTCTCAGACAATAAGTGTGACCTAAGGGGAGGGAAGGACAGTTCTGTCCCCCAAACTCACCCCACCATGGGGCTGGACTGAGGTGGGAGGAGCAGTGTCCATCTGCTCTGCTCCAAAAGTGGCTCTCCTGTCCCAAGACAGCCCAAAGCGGCCCCAGTCACTTGGGCCCTTCAACAAGCAAAGGTGCTTCCAGGACTCCCTTAGCATCCAGATGCCCAGGAACCACTGCTCTGAACCCCTCAAGCCCTCCTCCAGGAAACCCCTTAATGGGTACTAGTTAATCTTCCCATTTCACAGCTGAGAAGACAGAGGTCAAGGGAGCAGCCCAAGGGCACAGGGGAGCAGATGGGCAGCTGGGTCCATGCTCAAGTTCCCAGAGCCCAGACTCTTGCGGTCCATTCTTGCTGACTTCACCCACTTCGATGCCAGCACTCCTGGGGATGAAGATGAGCTCTCTTCCCAGCAACTCTGGGATCTCAGCAGCCTGGGCCTTTGGGCAGAGCTGACCTGGACAATTCCACCCAAAAAGGAAACTGCAGCCACTGCCTCCAGAGAGAAGCTTCTCATCATCTCCAATGACATTGTTAAGTTTGTCCTGCACTGCAGGACTAAATTATAGGGATGGGACAGCCTGTGGTCATGCTCCTAGCAATCAGCCACAGCCCCCATCCTCCCACCTCTAACCTCACCCAGGAACTTAGTCTGACCACTGTGTTTTCAGCTGCAGGAAACTCTGGGTCAACAAGCTTGGTAGCAACACCCAAGCAGGTCTTGCTACAGGCCAGACAGAAAATAACAGCCATCTCAAGTCTATCCCCAACCCCTCTGGCTGCCATGTGCACCATCCCTACTGGTCCTAGAATGACAAGGGCAAAGGGACTGTCAGGCCACTCCACGACCTACCTCTTCATTCCCTCTTCTTAACAGGCATCCCTGCAAGGGCAAGCCATGCCGGAAGTGGACGTGGGTGTACTCTGCACTCTGCTTTGCCCTGGCTCCACATACAAAGGAAGAAACTTAACGCCCCCTGGATCTAGCGTGCCCAAGGTCACACTAGCAGACAAGACAGATCGGCTCATCTAAGCTTGGTTGTCAGGAACATGAAGGGGGGGAGATGTCAGGATGGTCAGCCACAAAGAAATGCCTCAGGGGTCCTGGTCCCCCAGGCTCCTTCGCACCAGCCCCAAGCTGCTGGAGCAGTGGGGGTGCAGAATGCTGGCAGATCTCTGGTACTTTCCTGATCTATCCACCTCGAAGCGGGTAAAACGGGAGTGCTAGGGTCAGCGGCCTGCAGACACACAATCCTCCTGACTCAGCTCCCAGAGCTCCCCTCTCACCCACAGCCCAGCCAAGAATCCAGACAACCGCCCCTCCCCCCACAGCCAGCCTGCCAGCCAGGAGAAGGTGGATAGCTCTGTCTGGAGATGCCATATCTGGAGATGGATGCAGCTCAGAGGCTACCTGAAGGGAGCTCAGAAGTGGGTCTCGCAGGTATATCAATGGGAGGAAAGTAGTCCCAGTGGAGGAGTTCCACCAGACCCTAAAAAGCAAGGTCTGAGGAGAAGACCTGGTCCTACCCAGGAATCAGGTCTGAGGCCCGAAACAGCTATACCACAGAAAGCTCCTACCACTTCCTGAGCAAAGCAGAGAGCCCCGAGCAGCCCATAGACATCTGCTGTGGACAGGAGGGAGGACAGTCCCATGCCAGGCCACAAGCCTATTCCCTGAAAGACCCGGCTGCCAGGCTGGCTACAATGGGCCACAGACAGGAGCCCGGGATCATCACCTCCCATGACCCCCAGGTCCCTGCCCCTCCCAGTTTTGTGCCTGGAAATCCATATAAGCAGAGATGGCACCAGCTCAGGCCCAGGACAAGACCTTGGCCCATTCTCCACCCCAGCTCTAGCCCGGCTCCTGCACTGCCTGAGGCCCTCAAAGGGCCTGATTGTGCCGGGGAAGTGTCAGAGCGGCAGCAACGAGATGAATACATGAAAGGGAGCTTTGTTCAGGTCATTGGGCTCCGGGGCTGGGGGCAGAGGGGCAGGAGGGCTAGCTGCCTGGAAGTGAAGGGAGCAGCACCAAGCCATCGTGGCCAGCACTCGTGGCCCCATGGGCTCAGTGCAGAGAGAGCTGGGCCAGGGGAAGAGGCCGCCTTCAAGCATTGACCCAAGCAGGGGATGCATGTGGCTGGGGATCGCCCTACGGCGGCTCAGACCAAAGCAGCGCTTCTCTTCACTGCCTGATGGCCCCAGAAGGATGGGAAGGAAGACAAACCTAGATGGGCCGGATTGGGGATTGACTTCAGGCTGGGGAAACAGCCTAGGCAAAGGTAGAAAAGTGGATTGCATGGCAAGTTCAGAGGACAAAGGCCGCACTCTGCAGCCCAGCATAATCCAGGAGAGGAGGGGAGGTGGCGCTTAGGATGGTATATGCAGGGGAAGTAATGCCTGCCCAAGGACACTCTGACCTGCTGCCCACTCTCTCCCCCAATGCCTGCTCCCCACAAGTGGGGCCTCCCCCCAACAGCACCCCCTCCTCCTGGCTCCCCCCTGCTTCCCATCCTGCATGTCTAAAAGGAGCACCGTCTGGCACCGTGTCTCCCCCCTCACTCCCCGGCCTGACGGCCTGACGCATTAGTGGCTGACTAAGTGGTAGCTAAAAGCTCCCAGAATAACCAGGGGTTCAGGAGGGGAGGGGGCTAGGGACACAGAGAGAGGACATGGCCCCAAGGAGGGCTGGGCACAAGGAAACCTACCCCCACCCCATGTGATTCCAAGCCAACCCCAGCCCGGCTGGATGGGGGAGAAGCACTAGCAGGCTGCTGCTCATGTAGACAGACTCTTCGGGCCCCTGGTCCCCATGTCCTGAGTCCACAAGGCTGCCTGAGCCCACAAGGTCCAGCCCGGCTGTACCAGATACAGGGGTCAAAAGGATGACTGGGCTGTGGAAGGCGGTCATGTGCAGACAAAGCTCCTCAGCCAGGTTGCCTGTTGGGTTCTGGTCCAGCTGAACAGAATCAGGCCCTAGTTCTCTTCTGTCACTGTCCCGAAGGTGGCTGACTGTGGCCTGTCTGGAATCCTGCAGGGTGGGTTTTCTGAAAACAGGCCCCACCTGGTAGAACATCATGCCTCTGCTTATTCACCCTGGGTGCTGCTGCCATCTGCTCCCTGCCATCCCCACATTCTCCCTGCTTGTGAAAGAGAGCAGCTTGAAGGAGTATGAGAACTGCCATCCACAAACAAGGGCTGGGCCCTGCGGTCTGGTCCAGTGGGACAGCCTTCTAGCCTGACCCACTGAACCCACGAGCTTTGGGTGCCAACCTCAAGGCACCCTTTGAAAATGGGCACAGAGAATGGCAGGAATCTGAGCCTCTCAGCAGGAAATGCCTGTGCCAGGCCACCAAACCAACAAGGCCCAAGCCAGCCTCACCCTGGGGACCCAGCCACATGGAGCAGAGGCCTCCACCCATAGCTGTGCCTGGGGTCACCAGGCCCACTCTCCTCATGCTTGGCAAAGAGTATGAAGGGACAGGGGTCCTAGGAGCTTACCATAGCTTCTCCAGTCCTTAGCAGCCCATGTCCTGTGGGTCATAGTGGAAGGGAAGAGACCTGAATGGTCACCCAGCTGTGAAGGATCACAGGCCAGGGAAGCTGTGTCACTGGCCCAAGGAGACTCAACAAGGGTGGCTCAGGCTTTCTAGTACTCATTGCCACACTGCATCTCTCCAGAGCCACATCCCTAAACCTCATTAGCAGGCAAGAGGTATCCTTAGCCTTTCTGCCTCCCTGTGTCATTCAGCCCTTGCTCACTAGGTGCCAAGTTACAACCTGACAACAGAAGGGAATCACCTACCCACCTCCCAGGTAAGGCCCGATCCCCCAGAGCTCTCCTGGGCCCTCAAGCCTCAAACCCAAAGGAGTGATTAGTGGAGTTGCTGCATCAGGATGAAAAGAAACTTCCGTTGGCAGCAGGCACCAGAAGCAAAGGTTTCTCCAGCTCTGCCTCTCTTGATACGGCCAGGATAGAAGGCGTGAGAAGCCATCTCCAGGGTGGCGCTGCCTGGTGTGAAGGATAGGGCACTCATTATCACCATCCTGACAGGGCTGCGCTCCAACAGCTGCCTGGTAAGGTCAGGGCTCTGAGGGGGTGCTGCCCATGCAGGAAGGAGAGGTCCACCCACATTATCAGCCATGGGACAGCAAGCCGTGTGGCGGGAGGAGTGCGAGCGAGGTCGGCCACCAGTGGGAGGGCGGGCAGGGCACGTGGCGCTCTGAGAAGCCCTCCAGCTCCCTCTGGCAGCTGGGCAGCTGGCTGGCTATGATGCTGAGCAGGTGCTAGGCCTTTCTAGCTCAGTCTCCTCTGGGGCACATGGAGGGACTGGGTTTTGTGATCCACCATAATTCTTAGAACAAATAAGAAACATTTAGGGGTGAATTCATGAGTCTTTCTGAAAAAGTATGTGCCTGTGTGTGCTACAGACATCTGAGCTCTCTGGAGGTGAGGGCAGGGGAAGCTGACATTCTCACCTCCTGAATGTGCCCCCTAAATCCCAGGTCTGCACTCTCATTTTACAGACAGGAAGATGAAAGTCCTTCCAAACCACTGAGGCCTGGTGGCCTCTGCATGCCGTTGTTGTGCTTCAAGACCCCAAAACTGGCTGGTGGAGGATCAGCAGGGACAGTTTTGAGAAGTTTTAAGGGAGCTGAGCTGGGTCCCAGGGCCCAGGTGGGGAGGGAAGTTTGGCCCAGAGCCCAGATGGAGTGAGGAGGCTCTGAGTGCAAGCCCAGGAGGCAGGAAAAACCC